AAGAAGACCGGGGAGGGGGGCCAGAGCTCCGGCTCTGTTTCCTGGCAGCCCCGGTGTCCCTGTTGGGCGAAGGGGTTGTGGCTTGTTTTAGGAGTTTCCCCCGGGAGAGGGGGCGGAAATCACTCAATGACGCCTTTTTTTAGGAATGGGGGTGTGTGGATCCGACTGGGAGAGGTGGGAGCGCCTGAACCGACCCCCATTCTTGTGGGCGTCTGTGGGATAACAAAAGAGGCGGGAAGTGGCACAGAAAACGCTGTGGGAGACGACAGGTGACCCACCCACCCCCACCGCACCCCTGGAGGTTTGGGGTACTTTAGAGACCCGGGAAGCATTTGCAAAGGACGGGGAGAGAACAAGAGGGGAAGGCAAGTGTTTGATCCCGGGACTGTGACCTCTGGGGTGGGGTCTCGAGGGTGGGGGCGGACTTGGCAGCGGGAAGTGGCACAGAAAACGCTGTGGGAGACGACAGGTGACCCACCCACCCCCACCGCACCCCTGGAGGTTTGGGGTACTTTAGAGACCCGGGAAGCATTTGCAAAGGACGGGGAGAGAACAAGAGGGGAAGGCAAGTGTTTGATCCCGGGACTGTGACCTCTGGGGTGGGGTCTCGAGGGTGGGGGCGGACTTGGCAGCAGTTTGCTGCGGATTTGGCAGCAGTTTGCTGTGGCAGGTAGAAGATTTGCCCCAAAAGATGGGTGGGAGGGGCGGCTCCTTCGGAGAGTTTTCTGGCCGCGGGAAGCATGCAAAGGGCCCGCATCCCCTTAGTTACTGAGACACCGTAATGATCTCTTTCTAGGGGGTGCTTCCATATTTTTAGAGAGGGGGCAGAAAGGGCGGCTCCCTTCTGCCTGTCCCGGAGTGAGTTTGGAATTACCTGCCTCGGCGCTGCCCTCACCTTTCAGTGGCTGCGGAGTCAGAGGTTGGGAGTTCGATTCCCCCCCACCCACCAAGCCTCCTTGACAGGAGCTGGACTCGATGATCCAGAGGGTCCCTTCCAGCACTGCAGTTCTAAGAATACTATTATTAAATTCACTCCCCCCCCCCGCGCGCGCGATTTGGACGCTGAAGTGCTGGAAGTTCAAACCAACCTGGGCTTCGCGCTGCAGTCCCGCTGGCTTTATAGTAGGGAGCAGGGAATGAGCACACATGGGCACCCCTGAGGGTCTGAGCAGACATGGCAGAAGTGCAGTGTTAATATCCTGGTCTAATAGCCTAAACGTGGAAATTTCCTTTTCTGAGGCTAACCATCTCTTCGACACCCCCTCCAGGGCAATGTTCACTGAGCTCTCTGAGAGATTCTGTCATGGGAGAATCCCTTCCCCTTAGTTCAGGACAAGAGGTGTAAAATGATTTACAGCTCTTTCCTTGTTGCCCTGCAGATAAACTTTTAGCTAACCG